CCACAAGCAGGCAGTGTAAATATGTCATACTGGTTAAGTGTATGGAGCTATGGAAATCAGGTTGGAAATTTGGTGAGATTCCAACCTAACCATGGTACTGAAAGGTCCAAACCAAGTAACTTTCTCCTAGTCACAGACCTCCTAAATCTTAATTTTTCTCACTACTACCTATAAGACTACGTTCCTCATAGAATTACTGTAATTAAGATAGTATAATACATAAAATACAGTTTTACATAACTCAATCAACATCTGTGTTAATTATCTATGAATTTTATTTTTAACCTACAGTTTAAATATAGGAAAAGGAAACAAGTAGATGAACAATTTTTCCAAATACTATTGGAATACCAAAGTATCAAAATAGTTTCCTCAAGTAATTATTTCCTTGAATAATTACTGTAAACAATGTTAATAAATGTTTGACTATTCAAAGATTAAAGTTAACTGCCAAAAATCTTGGTCTCTAGAGTAATTTTTATCATACCACAGCTTGGGGTAACAACATAAACAAAAGAAATTTAAAAGAATAATCACAAGTAATAAGTTATGTAGTTCTTTTCTATAAATAAAGTCATTAGCTTCAAGTTCAACTTCTTAACCATATTTAATTTAAAAGTCGTATTTAAAGTAACTTGAAAAGCCATTAAATTGAAGATGCATAAAATACAGGCTCTCAAAACTGAAGGAGTGGGGAATGTTCTCACCATAAATCAAGATGGAAACTCAATTTGAATTAATACACCCAGTGTATGATAACACAAATAACATCATCTATTTTAAAAGAACTACTAATTCTCCAATCTCAATTTTAGATCAGAAAATAAATGCGATACATTCATATCTAAATGTCTACATTTTTTTGTATGCTACACTTCCTCTTCTGTGGTATGTGAGCTAGTAGGATTCAACATTATAGCAAAAAGAGTTGTTTCAAAATAACTTTGACAAGTTATTACACTATTTCAGTAAAGTGTTTAAAAATTATAATCTTTTATCTCAGAAGGATAAACAAAATAAACTCTTAATTTTAGCTCCATTAATCTGTTCACTAATATAAACTGCTTAAAAAATTCCAGGGTTTTTTAATAAAACAAATACTCCTATTAAATGGCTATGATTCACAGGAAAAAACTAAATGTAATAACTAATGGTAACTAAACACACCATTCGACCTGGTAATTATTAAAAGATAATTCTCTCATTTGTCAAAATGACTTCTATTACAGCAATAGCTACAACTTTTTTTTAAAAAGCTTTCTTTGTAAAACTTAAGTCATTATAACCCTACAGAATGTAAGTTATATTAAAGGTTTTTAATGCAGTTTATTCAGTTCCACTTGGTTTCTGTTCCCAGTCATGACTTAACTTTTTGGAAATGAGATCTTAAGGAATAATTTGAAACACAAAACCAACAAATTGTTTCAAAAGCTTCATTTCTATAATGAATTAAAATGCTAGAAACGGTTATGTTTCCAAGCGTCATTAAACATAACTTTAAAAACCAAGACCTATGTAAGTTGTTTTAAACAGCGACCTAACTGTAAACTACAGCATTAAATGCACTTAGAATGCAGTCTAAACTCACACTTAAGAAAGTAAGCTTGCTATCAAAACATACAAAATATTTGACTTTTCTACCTTTCTACCAATCTAAAGAGAAGAGACCATATGGATTTAATTTTTTCCATTAGAGCACAAAAACTTAAAAATTGGACTGTTTTATAAGAAATATTCTTAAATCTTGAATCTTTCTACATTACAATTTCCTCAATGGCTGTTAATAGTTGTTTTCAGACTGTCCAGGAAATTGAAGCCAAGCAAAAAACTGAAAGGCTTCCAAGAATAACAGAGGATAAACCTGACACTCATTAGTTTACAAACGAACATTTGATTTGCTCACCATATAGTACTTACAAATTCCAAGAGGACCGCACAGGAAGGTGTTGGGTTTTTCTCTGTAATCTTTATGTTTTCCAGTTTGTCTTTTTATTTTGTATCCTCTGAAATAATATCCAAGTTCTTTGAAGATACTTAACCTATGACTATTTGACATAGAGTTACTTCAAGTCAGCTACCCATACTTCTGTTTTAAAGTTTTCATAGGGTTATCTCCAGAATTAGCCAAGTTCCTTGGGTTTAGGTTATAAAATCTTCTTTATTATTCCATGTACTTGTCACTGTTGTACTTATCCACTCCAGATGAAATATCCAAATTATGAGCCCAAAAGCAAAAACAAAAAGAAAATTTCACATCTGAAGAGCATTCCTAAACATCAGCATTTACAGAGACACATAGCTATCTCAATACTACCATGCTGCTAGGAAACGGCAACATCTTAAATTTCCACTTAAATAAAAGATAAAAGGAAAAAAACTTTGTATTCTTTCAATGTCTTCATTTAGAAAAGCTGTCCCACTGTGACATGAAAAGGACTGAGAGGTCAAAAACAACTAAAACTTCTGATAAAGGTAAAAATAAACTGCCATGAAACTTCAGCAATAAACAGTAATTTGAAACTGCTGAAATTACTCAGTACACAAATCAAACATATCTTACAGTTTTGGCTGAAGAACACCAACAACAGGGGAAGGGGTTTGGGGAAAAGGCAAAAAAATACCACCAGCTGAATACTTTAACCAGTTATATAATCCGTTTGAATCAAAATACTGAAGAAATGCCTGGGTCTCTTTTTAAGTAGCTTGTAGAATTGTTCACTACTATCAATTCACTTCAGAGATGATTCTTGCCAATTTTAATAAACTTCTGGGACAAAATTATCCAAAAACATTGTAATTCCAAAATGGCCACTTGAAATATCCGGGGCCTTTTACACAAAACCTAGAAGATGATCTTCATATCTGAGTAATTGGATCACCTGTAAAAGTTATGGGGGGGGGAGGGAAACTTAAATTACACACCGAGTTTCAATTTCGAGATAAAAGTTAATCCCCAAAGAGTCAAGCTGCGGAGAGAAATTCTACATAATTCTACTGGTATCTGAAAAAAGATTATGCCCAGGCGAGCACCCAATATAAGTCTACAATAAGGACTTTGAGGGGATGGAGGCACAATAAATGATGTTCTAGAGGTCAAGTACTTTCAAATGGGAAGGAGGTGCAAATTATATTAGGGGTTTATATAAGCAAGCCTTATTATACTTCTTGAGTAAATATTAAAAATATACAAATGGCAATCCTGTAAAAGACCTCTATTTTCTATTCAGTGTATCCAAAGAACAGGTGTGGTGCCACCGAGTACTAGTAAATGCAACTTAGAAAAGGGGTATAAGTAATTGCATGGGGAATATAAAAATAAAATTTAAATAAAATTAAAAAAAGAAAAGGGGTATAAAGAAAAAGCATCTCCTCCAAATTAAAATGTCTAAAAGAAACACAATTCCCCCATCAAGAATAAAAAGGTTCGTGGCGGAGAAGCAGGGCCAGGAAGGTTCCTTAAATTCGCCCCAGGGTGAGGCTTCCCAGGCATCCGAGGGCAGCAGTGGGATAAAGGTGCCGGTTCCCATTTCCTTGAATTAAGAAAACAGGTTTCTCCCAGCACTGAGGGGGTGGAAGGTACTGAGCCCCAGCTCTTCTCGTAAACCACGTTAAGAGTGGTTCGATGCAAATAAAAAAATTGGGGGGGGGGGGGAGAGAGAAAAACAAACAAGTCCTCTCGGACTAAAAGGGCAAGGCAGCCCTCGACTCAGTACACAGCTAGGGCCACGGAGCTGAAAGAGGTGGGGACAGGGCGAACTGAAGAAACCACCGAAGGCCACAACTCGGCCTCGGCTCCCTCCGCCCCGGAGGGGCAGCAGTGCAAAAGAAGGGCGTGAGAGAGGCCGGAGGAAGACGGAGCACGCAGGGCGTCGAACCCATTCCCAGCCTCCGCCAACACCACCCCCCGCCCCCCGCCGCCGCCGCCAAGGCTAAGCCTCCCACCCCCTCCCCACAACCGCCACCTCCGCTCCTCCAGGGCTGAGTCAATACCTACTGGGGCCTCCCTGCGCCGTCCTCCCCCTCGCCCCAGCTCTCCGCCCCCCCACCCCCCACCCCCCCACCCCCGCTCCACGGGCAGCCTCACATCTCGCGCCGCCAACGCCGCTCTCGACCCCTTAAACCCTAACGCCGAACCGGGCAGCCCCCTCCTCCCCCAGAGTCCGACGCGGGGCACAGAGGACGGTGTTACCTTCTGCCACACCAGAGGTGCCCCTGGCCTGGGGGTGCCGCTGCGCTCAATCCCGGGAGGAGGTTTTCGGTACTTTGAATAATCCCCTTTTGCCGCTTTTCCCTCCCCCACAACCAGTCTCAGTCCCAAAATGGCGCCGACCCGATCCGCAATGTTCTGGGCCAAGTCTCGCGAGATCGTGGAAGGTAGCGAGGCGGGGAAGGAACTAGAGGGCTTGAGGAGAAGTGGGGAGAAAGGCGGAGCGAGGAGGAGGAGGAGGGAAAACGGGTGTGGAAGAAGCGGTGCGAACAAACCTACTGGGCGGAGCAGCAGGAGGAGCGCCTCCACCAAAGAACCTTCTGGCCCAAGCAACCGCTCACGCCCCGGCCCAAGAAGCTCCGCCCTCTACGTAGGGCGGCAAGGGGGACGGGAAGAGGGCGTGGCTACATCTGGGGGCGGGGCTTAGAGGAGACGCCGGCGGCAGGGGCGCGCGGGGGGCGGCGGCTACGCGCCGTGACGTCAGGAGCAGCTGGAGTCGGGGATTACCCCCTGCTGCTGACGTGAGGACGTTGAACAATCGGGAACGTTCGGTAGAAGGGGGAATTCCCCGCCGCTCCCTGAGGAGCCCCTCCTTCCACCGCCTCCCCCCGCCCGGGGCCGCCCGGAGCCTGGGATGGTGGGGCTGCCGGGCGGGCGCGAGGGCTGCGCGGCGCCGGGAGACGGCCGCGCTGGCTCGTGTGGCGCGCGCCGATGCCGTCTTCCCGGCCTCGAAACGCCTCGGAGCCCGGCGCGCGCCGCTCACGGGGTACCGCGCTCGGGTGGGCAGATCGGAGATCACATGCTCCCCGTGTGCCGCTCTGCGCGGCCGTGCGGGCGCGGGGCTCATTGGGCGCCCCGAAGCAATGGATCCCGTGCAAATGCGGGTGTGGACAGAATCCCACGCAGCGGCGGCCGATGGCTGAGGCGAGACAAGACACGTTCGTGGGGAACTTAGCTCAGAGTCCAAATGGTAAAAATGGCTCCTGGGTGTCATCGTGCTAATTATTTTTCTTTCTACTCAAGTTTCCCTAGGTGAGAATTGTTTCAGCGGTGTCTCGACCCCACACGGTCCATGCGGTTTTTTTCAAATGAGGTTTGTGTTGTTCACAGTTCTCTAATTGCGATGCCTTTTCGTCTTATAAATGACAGCTCACTTTGAAACCTGTGAAGCTGACCTTCTACATGGAAGAAAAGTAGCCACGTGTGGGAGGGGAAAGGTGGGGAGAGGGTGTCTGAAACGAGGGAAAATCCCAAAAAGTAGAGTATTTTGCTCCTAGCTCTCCCCAAGTCACAAAGGCTTCCTACGCGGAAACTTTATGGTCCTTGTGCATTGCAGAGTGTGTATTTAAATGGACGGCTGAAAATTTCTAATGCAACTTCATCAAAAGTGACCCTGCCCAGTCTCTTGTTTTAGTCTTCATGGGGGAGGTAGACACTCTTGCCAATTAATATAATGCCTGACTGAATACAGGTAATTCACATTTTTAACACTTGCTGGATGCGTTTGTCTGTGCGGGGCACTTTAATGCTTATATCAAACTCAGAAGTGGGCGCTGCGTCCCTCATTGGGTAAATGAGGAAACTGGTTTACATTAAGCAACCTGCTTAAGGTTTGGCAACACAGAAATTGGGCGCCATGACTTGGCTGTTCCAGGCTTGCATACAAAATCTATAGGGTCTTGATCCGTATTCTTTCCACCACCTCCCATTGCTTCAGGATCTGCTTCTGCTTCTCTAAATATGTCATTTCAAGAAACAAAGGAAAAATTGATAATTTGAATATGCAAGTGAATTGTGCCTTTAAATGGCAAAAGCAAAATTGAAAACAAATAGTGAAGAAACAACTTAGGGTGTGACAAACAGGTTACTACTTAATCATAGTGTATGTTTATACTATGCAATTATATACTCAGTTACTATCCTTGATATTTATTTTTTAAACATTTATTTGTTTTTGCGTAGAAGAACTGGGGCGTAGGCCAGAGATGCAGGGGGTGAGAGGATTCACTAGAGACAGTGGGGAACAGAACAGGCAGATCCACCAAAATATACTGCTAAGGGATGCAGCCTGTGAGTCAGTAGAGGTCTGCTGCACCATGTGGGTCACATACCCAGCTGGGGATGGAACTCCTCCCACCTTGCCTGGCAATAGCTTGATAGCACTAAGACTTAACCCCTGCCCCACCAGGGAGGCCCCTCCTTGATATTTAATGTTTGATTTGTATGATAAATATATCAAGACCTCTTAAAGATATCAAGACCTCTTACAAAATATAGCAAGACCTCTTCTCTTACGGAGAGGATAACCATACCAACCTTTTAAAAATAATCAGGCCTGAAAGGTCGATGCAGGAGGCCGGAATGCAAAAGCCCACCAGGAAGCCCACCTGGGGCCAGGAATGCAGAAGCCTGCCTAGAAAATTCAGACAATGAACCCCTCCCCGCCCTAGAATCTTTTCCCGCCATGCAACCCAGTCTCCCACCTGACCTCTCCTCACCCTGTAAAAGCCTGCCTCCCTGGCAATGTGTGCAGCTTCACCAACCCCCAACCTAGGGTCCGTGAATCCCCACCAGGGCGCTATAAATTTCCCCCCCCCTTCAGAAATTTAGCCTGGCTCTCCTTTTCTTTACTGCGCCAAACCTTTCAAGGGCCTCCCTGGTGGCGCAAGAGTTAAAGCATAGGTGCTATCAGGTTGTCCCCAGCCTCCAAGCCTTGGCTCAGTTAGATCCCAGCCAGGGAGCCTGCCCCACATGGCACAGAGGATTTCTCCTATCTTGCCAGCTGCTCCCCTCAGCAGTGTATTTAGTCAGTCTGCCTGTTCTGTTCCCCACTCTGTCTCTGGTGAATCCTCTCACCCTCCCGCGCATCTGGCCTGTACCCCAGTTCTTGTGTAAATGAATAAATAAATCTTTAAAAAAAAAAAAAAGTCTTTAGGAAACCATAATACTGGGCCTCCCTGGTGGCACAAGGGGTTAAGACGCAACCTATGAAGCTGTCCACACACACAGCCTCTGCAGCACCAGTTCAATCCCCAGCCAGGGAGCAACCCACATGGCACAACAGACCTCTCCTGACTCTCCCTCTGCTCCCCTCAGCAGTGTACTTAAGTCAATCTGCCTGTTCTGTTCCCCACTCTGTCTCTGGTGAATCCTTTCACCACCACCACCACCCCACCTCTGGCTTGTACTGCAGCTCTTGTATGCATAAATAAATATTTCAAAAAAAAACATAATACTTCATCCCTTACCTAAACCAATGTTTAGCTCATAGGAGGCCTTCAATAAATGTGACTAGCTAGATGGAATTCTCTTCACTGCTGATTGTGGTCCTGCTATTGCACTGTAGTGGTTTTAAATTGTACATAGAAGGCCTCCCCTGGTGGTGCAGGCGGTTGAGCACCACACTGTGAAGCTGTGCACAGCCCCTGCAGCGCTGGTTCGATCCTGGCCTGCCAGTGAGGGTCCCACATGGTACACAGACCTCTCCTGCCGCCCGCTGCTCCCCTCAGGAATGTACTTCGGTCCTTCTGCCTGTTCTGCTCCCAGCTTTGGCTCTGGTGAATTCTCTCACCCTCCTGTGCTTCTAACTGTACCCAGTGATTGTATAAATAAAATTAAAAAATATATATATAAGAGAAACTGAATCTGGAGCTGGACCACTTTGTTACATTGTGATTCCAAATATAATAAACATATGGGACACTGCAAAGGAATAATCTTGATTTGTGTATTATTTGAAAAGAGAAAGGTGAAGGCAAAAAATAAAGATTTTCCTTATCTTTATCCTCTTAGGTTTTCAAGTTCATTTTGGGGTAGCATCCTCCACTTTTGGCTCTGAATACCCATATTTTTTTTAGTTACATTCCCCATACAATTCCCACCCCTTTTTCTGATCCTAATCCCTCTTCTCCTCCCCTGCCCCCATGAATACCCATTTTATGAAAGTATATATATCATATTTTAAAAACTTTATTAAATCCGTGGCTTCCCTATAAAACTGACTGGCAACCCTCCCAAACCATTCTACTTACATCTTTAATATTTCTCATAACACTGACCCTGATTATCACAGAGCATATTTTAAAAGCCAAAGGTAAAAAAAAAAAAGCCAAAGGTGTCAGATATGGAAGTAAAACTGAAGATTTCTCATTTTGATACCTATACTAAGCCTTTAAGTTTCAGAATTAGAGTAATCATATAGATCAACTTAGGGTGTGATCATATAGATGAACTCAGGCTGCAGGGGCAGCGCTGAGCCCCAGCCACTAGACCCCCACCGGTTGGTGTCTCATGAAGTCGCAGCAGGAACTTCGCAGACTCTCAGGCAAGCAAGCGAGAAGAGGCAGGTTTGTTTTGAGAAAGAAAAAGTTTATTTAGGAGAAAAGGGACAGAAATAAAGTGGGACTCCCAGGCCAGGAAACCAGGCCTGGGAGGGGCAAGGAAGCCAAAGTGGAGTTGTGTCTCAGGGAATATATGCCTTCTTTCCCTCATTATTCTAAAGCTCCACCAGTCTCTTTGTGATTGGTTAGTTCTCGGCTGTCTCACTTAATTTGCTACTGAGTGGGGGATCTTCACATTCCTTATCTAACAGCTTTCTCTTTCCCCATTTGTTACTTTTTTATCTTTATGGCCCAGTCCTCAGATGAGCATCCCTGCATTGAAGTTAAACAGCTGCCCTTCTAAGTTGTCCATAAATTAAACCATTCTCCATTTCTCCAATCTCTGCCTCCCTTTATCACCTGAAGGAAACCAAGGCCATCGTTAACAATGTTGTCCTTGGTCCTGGGATGTTTGGTGGAATTAGTTACATTCCTCTTGCTGCCCTTATTTCTGAAGACTTCCTCAACTCTCTGAGGTCCCCTCCTGTAGTGTCCCTAAAACTGCCTAATTCCTAGCTTGCCCTGTGTCTCATTTGTACATATGTGTCACACACATACATTTTAATAAAATTGGTCTATGCTATACCTACTCTTCTACAATTTGTTTTTTCAACTTATTAATATGTGGACATGTCAATACTTTTAACGTTAACTTTTTATTTTTAAGAATTGTGTTATAATCCATTGGAAAATTTGTCTTATTTAACCAGTATCTTATGGAAGGACATTTACATTGATATCTAATTTTTTTTCCTATTATAAACCATTTGTTAGTGAATGTTTCTGAATTCAGAGAGCAAGTATAGAAGGAAGGAGGGGGGAGTGAAAAATGATGGTAATTTGCCAGTGGGTAGATCGTTGAGCCAAGGATGATAATTTCAAAGGAAGAATTACAAGATAACATTATTAAGGGCCTATGAAGGAACAGGCCCTAGTTAACTGTGCTCTATTTTGCCATTTTTTCTTAATATATAGTGTTAACTATTTTTGCTTTAATAGAGTCCATTCAGCCTGAATTTTATATAGTAGTTGAAAAAGCATGAACTTTGAAATTAGGCCGACTTGGGCTTGGATTCTAGCTCAGTTGAACTCAAATTTCTTTTTATGTTTCTGTGCTATCTGTTGAAGATACAGAAATGCTTAAGATATAATCCTTTATAGCCTGAAGGATGAAACTAATATATCTATTTTGCTGCTGTATCTTCCCATGCCTAGAATAATGCCAAGCAATAGTAACCATTCAATAAATATTTGTGGAGTAAATAAGTTTATTAGTGTAAGCACAGAGTACTACAAGATACCTTTTTTACAAGAAGTCTTAAAAATTAAGATGCATGGCTTATAAGGAAAAAATATTATAACTATGCTCTGACCTAACTAGACATTGTGGTCCTCACACTATAATATATACAAATATCAAGTCATTATATTGTATACCTAAAACTAATATAATGTTATATATCAATTACGTATGATAATAATAATGAGTGGCAAATTAAACAGAATTCTACAAGCAAAGAGGCTTCCGGTTTTAGAAGCTTTTGCACAGTCAGAGTTGCAAAAATGAAAATAAGCCAAAGCAAGGTATTTCCAAAGATGCAAAGAGAAGAAACCCATAACACACAGGCTTTTGGAAACCACGAAAAGTTGCTGGAGAAGAAAGAGCACAGACTGTCACAGGAACTTGACCTGGTGCTAGGGAGACTAGATGTTTGTCCTGAAGACTTTGTAAAGTCTTTTATTGTGTGTGTGTGTGTGTGTGTGTGTGTGTGTGTGTGTGAGAGAGAGAGAGAGAGAGAGAGAGAGAGAGAGAGAGAGAGATAAAAGGGCCCTCTTGTGATCTTCTGGAGAAGAGATTAGGAAAATGAATCTCCAGGAAGAGAAAGAAGCTAACAGACTATTGCATTAACCCAGGTGAGAGATGATGGTGGCTGAAACCACCCTTGCCATCTATTGGTTTTTTCCTACATACCATGTGTTTCTCCTATATATTACACTTCTCTATCACTCTTCTAACACACAGTTGTGTAAATGGGCATCACACAGACTGCTCCTTCTAGTTGAACACATGTTTTTCACGAATTCTTACAAACTTTCAAGTCTCAGTCTAAATGTCACTTCCTTGGGCAGTCTTCCCTGATTCCCTAGGTCTCCCTGTGCTCTTCCTTATATTACCGATCATAATTATAAATTAAACTTATTTTTATGATTGTTTGACATATATGTCTTACCCATTAGACTTCAGATTTCATGATTTGAATACATATGAACAGATTCAAAAGTAGATAAATGTTTGTGAAGATAAGACAAGAAAAAAGCCAATGATTATAACTGGGTTGTGATTTGGTCAATAAATCATTTATTTATTGATATTTGACTATTTGATTTGACTTCTTGGTCATGTTGGCCGGCTGGCAGGATTTAATAGACCAAGTCACATGTCGTGGTTGCTCTTCCTAAAATAAATTTTTGAATTTTTTAGTGTACATGATGCTTTACTTTTTAGAATATGTTCCTAGAAATATCAAATTGCTAAAAGAATATATTTGACTATATATGTGTGTGTGTACAAATATTGCCTTTCAGAAATGTTCTACCAATTTTTTTCCCTAGAAACATCTGAGAATACCCCTGATGTTTTTAAAATAAAAATCATATCTTTAAAATGTTTAGTGTTTTGGGATGTCCTTGATGGCTCAAGTGTTAAAGACACAGTGCTATCAAGCTATTGACAGCCACTGTGGCATGAGTTCGATCCTCTGCCCAGAGAGCTGACCCACATGGCACAACAGACCTCTCTTCCCTTGCCTGCTGCTCCCCTCAGCAGTGTATTTCAGTAGATCCATCTGTTCTGCTCCCCACTCTGGTGAATCCTCTCACCTCCTGCTCCTCTGGCCTACACCCCAGTTCTTGTATGCATAAGTAAATCTAAAAATAAATAAATAAAATGTTTAGCGTTTTGAGTACGGTTGAGGTTGAATTTGCATTCTTTTGAATAGTATTGAGGTTGCATGAATGCCTTTTCATAGGTTCATCGATCAGCTGTGTTTGTGTATGTGTGAATTGTTGGTTCAAGTCCTCTGACTGTTTGGCAGATGAAAAGTATTGATTTTTTCCCTCATTGATTTGTAAGATCTCTAGAATGCCTTTCAAATCCTGATAAAATACGAAGTGTTAAAAATCTAATTGTAAAAAAAAGTGCATATTGTCCAAATAAATCTATTGCCTGACATGGACCTGTAAAAGCAAAATGTATGAGAAAAAATTAGAAAATAAAGACTTTTGTAATTCAATTCTGTCTTTGAGAAATAGTCAGATAATGCTATCATCTAGTTTTTTTTTTTTTTTTGCTATCATCTAGTTGTATGTCAAAAAACCTATAGGTTTAAACCCCTACTTTATTCAAAGCTTTTTATAGACATATCACCCACCCCCATTCTTACAAACTTTTTATTTTTTTAGCAGTGAGCCTTTTGGTGAACCTAGAAAGGTTCTTTGCCTTCCATTTGTATCATCTCATAACTACCCTACTTTGAGACATTTCAGTTTTAGTCAGCACTTCCATCTCAAAATTGACAGGGAAATGAACAGGAATTGAAACTCAAATAGAATATTCTTTTAATGCTTAACAATGGTGATTAAAGGCGTGAGAAAGAAGCTAGAATTCCTGATGAAAATGAAATGCTTGAATTATCTGCGGATTTCCTATACCTGAGTTTCTTGTTTCAGTGAGTAATTAAGGATTGCTCCATTTGTTCATCAGTATTACTTAGAGTCAGTATGGAATTCTTTGTCCCACTTACTCCAGTACTTACCCAATGACAACTAAGGTGACTAATTAACTCAGAACTGTTTCTTCGCTCTTAGAGTTACTTTGCATGTATATTATTTCTGAATTTTCTCCCTTGGTTTTATTTTATTGCTTTTTAGTTTTCTCTTTCTAACCTATAAAGTTATTAAGGCAAATTTTATCACAGTTGACATCTCTGTCAAGAATCCTACAAAAGTAAATGTGACTATAAATCAGAGCATGATGGTTTATTTAGAAATAAAGATGGGGCTTCCTTGCCCCTCCCTTTCCTGGTTCCACCAGCCTTTTCTCCTCAATAAACTTTTTTCTTTCCCTAAACAAATAAAAAAGAAATAAAGATGAATAGATGGGAATTTACTAAATATTAGAATAGATAACATAATAGTCTGAGGAATTCCTATATTTTTATCTTTTAAATCTCACATTTGGGCCTCCCTGGTGGTGTAGATGGTTTGAGTGCTGCACCGTGAAGCTGTCCACAGCCTCTGCAGCGTGGGTTCGATCCCGGCTGGCCAGCAAGAATCCCACATGGCGAAGCAGACCTCTCCTGTCTCACCCACTGCTCCCCTCAGCAGTGTATTTTGTCAGTCTGCCTGTTTTGTTCCCCACTTTGTCTCTGGCAAATCCTCCCACGCATCTGGCCTGTACCCCGTTCTTGTATATATAAATAAATAAATAAATAAATAAATAATTGGAAGAAATTTAAAATAGAGATTTTTTAAAAAATTTGGTGGGAGGCCTCCCTGGTGGCACAAGGGGTAAAGACAACCTATGAAGCTTTCTGCAGCCACGGCAGCACTGAGTTCTATCCCTGGCCAGGGAGCTAGCCACATGGTGCAGCAGACCTCCCCTGACTCGCCCACTGCTCCCCTCAGCAGTGTATTTCAGTTGATCTGCCTGTTCTGTTCCCCACTCTGTCTCTGGTGAATCCTCTCACCCCTCGCACCTCTGGCTTGTACCTCAGTTGTTGTATGTATAAATACAAATAAATCTTTAAAAAAAAATTGGTGGGGGGTGAGCTCCCTGGTGGCATAAGGGTTTTAAGCTCAGTGCTATCAAGCTATCAGCAGCCACTGTGGCATGGATTTGATCCCCTGCCAGGTTGCTAACCCACATGGTGCAGTGGACCTCTCCTGTGCCACCCACTGCCCTCCTTAGTGGTATATTTTGGTGGATCTGCCTGTTCTACTTCCCACTCTGTCTCTGGTGAATCCTCTCATCCCCTCCCCCTGCACTGCCCAGCACCTCCGGCCTACACCCCAATTATTGTATGCATAAATTAAAAATAAATAAAAATTTTAAAATAAAACTTTTGAGGTCTGGTCAACACTTATTTTCCTTTTCCTCTGGTAAGAGAATACCAGATTCTTGAGAGAAGTCTTGCTGTGTGGTATGAGTGGGGCTGACCCCAACTATTACCAATTCCCCTTGCCTAACTGGAACCTAATCTCCATGACCACAACATTGACTTGGGGTACCTGACTCAATTTAGACCAGTCAAAACCTTCTAAGACTTTTCTGCAGATGCTACCAGGAAGTATTCTCATTCCATTGGGATTACTAAAACTGACAGGGTATAAATCTGGAATTTCCAGTGGAAAATTTCTGAATTTCTACCTGCCTTTCATGTAGCTTTCAGAGACAAATATAATCAGAGTATTGACATTCTTTTAGTTCTTGCACCTAATTCTTATTGAGGCAGTGACCATCTCTGAAATTCATAGTAACATAGGTAAATAGATTCCCTTTATTACTTTACTAGTTTGAATTGGAATGTCACTTCCAGTCTAAGGAATACCTATGAATTCAGGCTCCTTGTCTTGTAGGATGACTGATGCCCATGCAATGTTTTCTTTCATCCATGATATCAACAGTGAATTGTGAAAAACCTTCAGTTTCTGGTAAAAGAAGTGGCCCTGAAACAACCAATGGGGTAAGTGTAACAATTCTGGTGTTTTTCTTTCTCTTTTTGTGTCACCACTATGGCTAGCCCAAAAAAAGAATCAAATTCATTTATTCTATCTATAAATAAGTTTCCTTTAAAGTGGGTTCCCTTTTGTGGAAAGTAAATTGAAAAGGAAGCAATTTATCTTATCCAGTTTTCCACTATCGTCCAAGGCAGTAGCTCTTTTCACTTCAGCAGAATGAAATGGGAGTCTGAGAAAGACTCTGAGAAGTCTCCTTCTTTTGTTCTGAAAAGGATGAATTCAGCCAAACTTTTAGAAGTATAAAAAGGTGAAGGAAGACAATCACTTTTGGGGAAAAAGTTGGGAACCCAAAAAATTATACAAACATAGACTTGGAATGAGAAAATAAAACTCAATAAGAGAGAAAGAAAACTAAACTGGGAAAATCCTTTAGAATTCCTTTGTTTTTTAATTTGTTTTTTGATTTTAGGAATCAAAAAGCATTGAATATAAAATATTTATTATATTATTGTGGTGATGTTCTCCCTACTACCTAATGTCCTGGGCAGTGAGCAAAGGGAGAAAGGTATTTAGACCATCCTTAAATGAATTAAGAGGAAAGACAGGATACCTGACTAAGACCTTATAAACGCAAGACTCCGGTGACCTACTTGTCTGACAACAGAGCTAAGCAAGAAGGCTGTATTGGGAATGGTCTGCACCCTAAGATTGGTGGGGTAGAGAATGCAATTGTTACCCAAAGGCCAGAGGTGGACTCAGTGAAAGGAATTGGATTTGACCCTAGAAGACCTCCTGGAGAGTCATGACTCCAACAGAGCAGTGGGTCACTGGATATTGTAAAAGAACACAGCAGGCCACTAGTTAAAGTGGTAAGGACAAATTTTAATCAGTTTCATACTATTGCAGTAAACAGGGTGGGGCCAGGAACCTGGAGCCTCCCCTTTTTCTGGCAATACGGAAAAGAGTCCCACTGTGATCTGAATTCAACTACCATCTGTATAGAGATGAGCTGGCATTTTAAAGGAAGAATGAGGGAATAAGAAGAATGAGAAAGGACTCAGTAAAGTCCAAGAAGTGAAAAGTTACAAAAAACAAGGGGGGGGGGCACGGTTGATTTATGTGAAACCCATTTGGATGAAGTTAAATTCCCACCTTCCCACTGAGGCCTATCTTCATGACAGGGACCTGTCTCTTTGATGACTGGAACACATAGTAAAGTTTTTTGGAAGCCTTGAGTTTCCTCAGGCCAGAATGTTAAAGGAGCCTGGATCATCCTAGGCATGTAGCTTTGCACAGTTAGAAACCAAGTCAGTGTTTAAGTCTTTAAAGGCCAAGCTTGTGGCCTCCTTGAGAAATGTCAAAGAGGAATGTGGCCAGAAATTGCTTGAGAGAATCTTTGTCAAAACCAGGGACTAACCAGCTAGAGGAGTCAGTGGGAATTTAAAGTATGGTCTTGAAGCTTAGAAATTCTCCAAGAGGAGGTATTTCCTAAGTGTCTAGAAAAGCACTATCTGGGAGAGAATCAGAACTTGGAATCTGCAATCTAGAGAACACCAATGACAGATTACAGCTGTGTGAAACCTCTGGGCCCCTTTTCCTATTTCCTCTCCTGATCCCCAACCCCTTCAATTAAACAGGAGGGGGCAAGGCAACCTTGAAATTCAGGGCAGAGAAGTAGAAAATAGGGAAGAAACTGCTCCTACACCCACCAAAAGTTTAAAATTTAAAAAAATGAAAAGGTTAGCATTTGAGGGAGGGGAGAATTTGAAATAGTGAAAGCCTGGAATATAGAATATTAAACTAGATCTATTTATTCTGATCTATTTATTCTGAAAGTGAGAGTAAACACAGATTGGAACAAGCCCTGATTTTATCCTGGGACAGAGAATCATTCCAGAGAGAGGATTTACAAGCACAAGAGTGGAAAGGAATAAAGTTGTTTTCTGCTTGAACCCCACTAAGTCTAGTTTGTTTATTAAATAAACTATTCATACACACTTTCCCATTATCTCATGTTCAAATATCAAAAGAGTTGCTCTGTTTGCATATACTAAAGGGTAGAGTTCTTATGTAAATGTGTATGCTTAGATGTAAATGAAAGGTTTCCAGGATTTCAGGGTGTTCTGTCTGAAGGAAGCTATCAATCCCAAAGTGAAAAGCTCTTATACCAGGCCTTGGGTCTCAGCTCTATATATTTATACCGTTGTCTTTTCTTTTCTTTTTTTTTTTTTAATTTTTCTTCTTTTTTTGTTTTTTCTATTTTGCCATTTCTCTTTTTAAAATAAAATATTTCTGTTGCCCCTTTTACTGTAATCAAAAGGAAATTTACAATAAAGCACAATTCAACATACAAACACTTTGTCATAGTTTCAGTGGAATGCTTAATAGGGTGGTCGTGTTAGGGAGAAATGATGTCCTGAGCTAATCCCATACAGGCTTTGTGGACTCCACTCCCAGTCCAGACTAAAGCCATCAAGACATTGGGAAAGACAAATCCCATCACCACCAAAGGGAGGGTGGCTGGGACCTGAGGGTGGAGTTAAGCAGCCAGGTTGGGTATAAAAACCAAATACGTGGGCCTTAGGGGGCTCGCTATAGCTCGCCTCCTGGCTTCACGGCTCCTGGCTTGCGGCCAGCTCTCAGAGCGCCATTTGGGATTCCAGATCAGCGGATCGGGTAGGTCTCATTTAAAACTTTGTCTCCCACTTTTCTCCCTGAGCTATACATTTCCTCATCTCCCCTTCCCTTGTAAATAAACCTTTTATTAACCTTTCGTGTGTGCCTGCAGTAGAGCATTGATAAGTCCTTTTAAGCGCACAGTCAGGCACCCCGTTTTGTATCGGGGTTGCACTACAACAGTTGTATTTCTGTACAATTAAAAAAACAAAAAGTTACTGATGCTAAGCGCCAGGTCACTAACCCAAGCATTCATTACAGTTTCTATTCTCCTAGTAATGGAATCTTAAACCTGATCAGGAATCTCCTGACCACCACTAGGTACATAATCTGCCTCATAGACCCCTGAAGCCCCTTAACATGAACAAACCTTGCAATAATCGAATTGCTTTTTTGCCTAATATAACTTCCTTGATCCCACTCCCTGCTGCTTATAAAACTCTTTTATTGCATACAGCTTTTCTAAGCTGTTTTCTATCTACTAGATTGGATGCTACCTGGTTCAAGTTTTGGTCAAATAAATTTATTTTTTGGTATGCCTCAATTGATTTTTTAACCGTTCTCATATGGAAAAAGCCACACATGCTGACTAAAAGTAGTGGAATATATAGACAACTTTAGCTAGCATGCAATAAGTGTTATTATTTTCTTAAATTTGGAATGTTTCCCATGAAAGGAAGTACAGTTTTCCTTCAGTTTATTCAGTAGTTGCATTCCCAGGAAATTCAATGCATATTAAAAGTAGAAAAGAATACTTAATATTTATCTTTGAAACAAGTTATGTTGACTAAATTTAGGTTCATTAAATGCTATCTTTGTAACAATATAAAACACTCTCACAAATTCCCAGATCCCCCTCAGGTGATGTTCCTCCCTTATAATATTGCACTGCAGTAAGAACAGTAAAGGTCATCCAACCCCACTTCTCCCTCAGGTCATCTTTCAGTTCCTGCCCACCCCTCCCTCCTACCCCTCCTACCTTCCCTCTCCTGAGGGGAATTCCTGAATTAGAGAGAACTCTCTTTAGTGTTTTCCTTTTAGAAATGCTAATCCATTGAGGAGATCTCTCATTTTGATTGTCTAAAAGGTTAAATCCTGATTGAATTTTGGATATTCTAAAACATTTCAAGTGCCTGTGTTCATATCCAATTTTTTTTAAAGATTTATTTACTTATGCATCCAAGAACTGGGGCACAGGCCAAAGGTGCAGGGGGTGAGAGGATTCACCAAAGACAGAGTGGGGAGCAGAGCAGACGTAGCTACTGTAATACACTGCTAAGGGGAGCAGCAGGTGTGTCAGAAGAGGTTTGCTGCCCCATGTGGGTTGCTCCCAGGCTGGCCAGGAATTGAACTTGTTCTGCAGAGGCTGAGGATTGCTTCATAGTGCGGTGCTTAACCCCTTGTGCCACCAGGGAGGTCCTAATTCCATGTCATTTTTGATGCTATAATTTATCCCTGTTATTTTTATTCCTTTCAAAAGACAAAGTATAACAGGGTGGTCCCCAGGAAAGCGGGAGGTTCCAGGTTTCCTGCCCCACCCAAAAGAAGGGTGGAGCTGAGAGAAAGAAGAAGCTGCAGAGGAAACTGAGGAAGGAAGGAAGCAGGATGGAGAGCCAGAAGGAGACCTGGAGGAGGCACATGGAGCCGAGAGACACGTGAAGAAACTGCGCTTGCCTTTTGGTTGTGGACTGGGTGACACAGATGTGAGTGAGAGACCCGTGGGGAGGTGATAATGGCAATTTTTGTCTTGATTTTGATTTTGCTCTTTTCCTCCCAGACTTGTCTGGTTGTTTCTGATCCTTTTCTGTGGGTCCCCACTGGAAGATGCTTTAGACTTGTGGCCGGCTTTGGGGCCTTGCTCTGGGCCAATCCCGTTTGGGTGGACTTTTACCTTTGAGGGGACAGGTAACTTTGGGCTCTTTCATGTAGTTTCCTAATTGTATTAAAGTTCCTTCCCATTAAAGTCTCATATATTTTATGTTGATGCGGCGGATGGCAGAACCTATTTAGAGCAGGCAGGTTTGCAGGGCTTGGGGTGCCCTCTCCCTGCCCTGTAACAAAAGTAGATTGTAAAGGTAAATAAGGGATCTAAACAGGGCCTCCCTGGTGGCACAAGGGGTTAAGTGTCAGCACTGTGAAGCTATCAGCAGCCACTGCAGCAGAAGTTCAATCCCCGGCCAGGGAGCTGACCCACATGGCCCAGCAGACCTCTCCTGTCTTGCCTGCTGCTCCCCTCAACAGTGTATTTCAGTCAGTTCTCCTATTCTGTTCCCCACCCTATCTCTGGTGAATCCTCTCACCCCCCTCCCCACTTCTGACTTGTACCTCAGTTCTTGTATGCATAAATAAATAAATCTTTCAAAAAATTGTGAGTAGAGGGAACATGTGTGCTACAAAAAATCAATGGAACATGCTGGAAGCTTTAGGAACATCAAGCATATTCACTTACTCTTCATATTTCAATTTAATTTTAAAAAACTAGCCACCCTGGAATAGTGTAAAAATTTTTTTTCCTGGAGATTTTTATTAATTTTTATGATATGTAATCTGCATGTGAAATTTTTAGAAGAGGTTATTTAATAGATAAATGCCAGATAACGTTATCTAAATTTATTGGATTGATTTAATGTTTTATTATCTGAGAAGGCTCTGCATTTCTTTTTTTTTTTTCCTTCCACAAAATCTTCCTTGTTGGTAAAGTAGCAACACCATTTAAGAGATTAAAAAGCAGATATGAATATATGTGTATGTATATTTATTTTACCACACACATTGGTACATTGGTATGTATGTGTGTGTTCAACGCCATTGCTCAGATCCCATGGCAGCAGTAAAAGAGGAGAGTCATGTACACAAAACTATGACTAACCCCAGCTCAAAGGGTAGCTGGGATTTACCTGGTTTCTGGTCAACAGCGACAAGCCGCTTAGGGACTTGATCCCTGAAGAGGGCAGCCAAGAGCTGCCTTAACTCTTGAAAAAAGAACCATCTGAGAACTTCAAAGTTGATTATGAAACTGTTTTCTTCTCCTTTCTGGAAACTGTATGGAGAAATATACACCAGTTTGGGGCATGATGAGATAGTCTTGACAAGGGACTAGGAATAACAGTAGAGAAAACTAGGAACACCAGTTGGGTAAAGCTAACTCTTAAAAGCTAACCAGATGTTAGTGAGGTCTCCTATGATAGGAATCTAGAATGTTCACTTTTAGAACCATTACAATACTCTGGAATGCTAAGATTTCTGTAACTCTGGGGGAAGGAGGCAGGTGTTGGGGATTACATTCTCATCCTTACATAACTAAAGCAAAGCATTTAGAATACTGGCTTCTTTATAAGTATAGATTATTTCCCCCTTTTCATTCTTCTCTTTTGCTTCCTCCTTCTCATCCTTGTTACTGTTATGATGTCAGGCTCCAAGTTCTGCTTTTATTGAACAATGGACTGTGAATGGATGGTCTCACGAATTCTTATGCAGGGTGTCTCATTCTGCACCATCTCAACCCGTTTGCTAATTCTATCCCTTTCTCACTTGATATATACTCATAACACCGCGATTCCCCTTTCCCCCCAACATATACACGTGTTTACACATTACCAAGAGGCATTTAGTTTTTATCAGATTTTAGTGAAAATTTAGAAAGACAAATGGGGTATGAATAGCAACATTTCAAAAATGTGAACGGGGCCTCCCGGTGGCGCAGCGGTTGAGCGCTGGGTTGCGAAGCTGCCCGCGGCCTCTGCAGCGCCGGTTCGATCCTCGGCTGCTCCCCGGCCACCGGAGGAGGGTCCCGCATGGCGAGCAGACCTCTCCTGCCGCCCACTGCTCCCCTCAGCAGTGTACTTCGGTCCTTCTGCCTGGTCTGCTCCCCGCTCTGGCTCTGGTGAATTCTCTCACCCTCCCGCGCTTCTGACTGTACCCAGTGCATGTATAAACAAAACAAACAAACAAACCAGCAAACAAATAAATAAAGCATGCCTCTATAAAAAAAAAAAAAAAATAAAAAAAAATAAAAAAACAAAAATGTGAACGGCTTCCCTTGAAACTATGCACTTTTTAAAAGTCCTTCTGCCAGGAATTATTCAATTAATTTCTCACCCATAAAGGGGCTTAGCAATATATTTGTTACCTTGTTTCTCTTTCTGTTTCTCCTCTGTCTAGGAGCTCCTCAATACCCTCTCACTCCTATATTACAGCCCCCAATGCAAATTCTCATTTTTTTTTTTTTTTTTTAAATGCCAGAACGTCTTTATTTTTTTTTTATTTTTTTTTTTAT